AAAATCCATGTGATACCTTCCCATTTACCCATGGGTACAGGTAAAGGTTCTAAACTCCCATACGGTTTCTGATGTTGTGCCTTAACCCTAGCACATGTTATACACTCGGCCACATACTTTAGCAACATCGAGCTTCATCGTCGGCTACCAGTAATAGGGTTTTAGATCCCTATACATTTTTATACTGCCGGGATGAATCGAGTACATGGTCTTGTGAGCTTCTTCCATCAGAAGATCTCTTACTCCTCCCATCTTAGGTACCCAAATCCTACCTTTGAATACCTTCAGTCCTTGACCGTTTGTATCAAACACCAACGTTTTGCCCAAACGTTCTTCCTTTCAGTCATTTTTCTCTAAAGCTTCCTCTTGAGCTTTCTTTATACTTTTCACCATGGTCGAGACAACTTCAATCCTCAACGCTCTTGGCCGTTTCTTTTCAAGGTTTACCTTCCGACTGAGAGCATCAGCAACAACATTTGCTTTACCAGGGTGGTAAAGTATCTCACAGTCGTAGTCCTTGAGTAACTCTAGCCAGCGCCGTTGCCTCATGTTCAATTCCTTCTGATTAAAGAGATATTGAAGACTCTTATGATCAGTGAAAAGTTTGCATTTAGTACCATAAGGATAGTGCCTCCCTATCTTTAAGGCGAATACTACCACTGCCAACTCCAGATCATGAGTGGGGTAGTTCTTTTCATGCTCCTTCAATTGCCTCAATGCATACTCTATCACTTTATCCCTTTGGGTCAGAACACAACCTAACCTAACTTCTTTAACAACGAATGCGATACTTCTATTGATCGCTTTGATCATCCTTTACTTCAATTCGGCTTAAGTCAACTGCTACATCGAACTTGGTTCTCTGAACCACGTAACAAACTCATCGTAGTCGGACTCAATTTGATATGACCACTAGGGTCGGAATAACAATCATCTTCATTACCGAAACGATGGTAACGACAGACTAGAATAAGACGGAATCAATTACTAACTCCTTGGTAACCTTGTGGCTTTCCCTGATCCAAGTGTGAGTCATGTGCTTCCAGTAGTATAGATCTCTACTACTATTCACACCTACTCATACTCGTCCCAAGTACTGTCTCGCAGTCCCCAAGTCCTAAAATCACAAAACAATTTAACACATACGAATGTGTCCAATTAATCATAAAATTTTCCTAGACTCTACTAGGACTTCTTCTATGCGTATCTTCAATCATCAATTCTACTTCAACTTGGTTGGTGATGGAAATTCCATACGATGGGACAACTTCAAGAATTATACCAATCATTCCATCATCCTGCCAATCGAAGGTGTACTTCAGACGTACCGTACCCCTCCAAACGTTCCATTATTTTATTAGACATATTCTAAAGGCAAGATACCACTCTTACGATATCTTTTGATAGGTATCATTCACTATCATAAGCTTTTCATTTCCTCCATCTACTCAATTCTCTACGAGTCTTCACCATAACGTTTTGTACACCCAAGCAGACGTTCGGTGTACTGGGCGAGAACTTAAGATAGGAAAGCTTTATTTACGATAGACGTATAAATCTCCTTATCACTTCGAAACGTTTACATGTTAGTTCTAATCTCGTAATCATACGCTTAGAATCCTACACACATAAGGTTTCCAGATCCGGTCGGCAACAGACCATAGATCCGAACAAATAATAGCATATAAGGCATCTTTATAGCTATAACATAAAATATTTAACACATAAAACATTTTAGGCATCTTTCCTAAAATAAACTTGTGCTCGTGTCTAAAATATAGCAGACACTCATCTCACAATCATCGCTTAGCATTCTAAGTTTAAGTCTAGAAATCCTACAAATTCCTAGTTCGCTTAAACTAATGCTCTAATATCAACTGTGACATCCCCAATTTCACGGCCAGAAAAGACCGATTTCGTTTATGCTTTTTAAAATAAAATCAGAGTAATCCTTTTTAAAAGATGTTACAGAATTTGTTCCCAGAAAAACATGATAAATATGTTATCAAATCATTTCCGAAGAAATGTATTTTATTCACTTAAACCATTGGGATGTCATTGTCAATACAAAAACATAAGCATAAACAAAACTTACATTCATTTACACTAGTGATCTACTTCTCTTTTAATCTCTCAGTGTAAAGCAACTTCGTATCGATACCTGTGATACAATTAAACTGAGTGGGTCAGGCTTGGGAGCCCGGTGAGCATATAGGGTTTTCACCCCACAATAAATAAATTTATTATGCTTAAACATCAAACAATCAACCCAATTACCCAATCCTCATTATCTTATTTATTTCTTAAGGATTTACCCTAAGAATCAACTATCACTCATTCCTAAGGATTCATCCTAAGGAATAGGCACGAAGTCCATCGCTGCCCAAGGTTTATACTACAAGCACTAACAACGACGATCCCCACATACTGATCCTATACAGTGATCTTACTAGATCTAGTCTAAAGGATCGATATGAACAACCAACTAACGAAACTGCTTCGGAAATCCCCTAGCAGCAAACAAGGATCGATAAAGACATCAAATGAATGGAATAAGTTTAACCACGAACCTTTGTTCGTAAAAGAAAGAACCACAAGACAATTAAGTCAGGGGTAATTATCAATGCCTAGGCTGTGGTCTGAATATCGTGAGGTATATAACCCCCAGACGCGCCCTATCCGGCAATGGAAACGCTGACTAATGCCTAGGCTGTGGTCTGAACCCCCAGACTCACCCCTATCCGGCATCGAGAATGGAAACACTGACTAATGCCTAGGCTGTGGTCTGAACCCCCAGACTCACCCCTATCCGGCATCGAAAATGGAAACACTGATTAATGCCTAGCTGTGGTCTGAACCCCCAGACTCACCCATATCCGACATCGAGAATGGAAACACTGACTAATGCCTAGGCTGTGGTCTGAACCCCCAGACTCACCCCTATCCGACATTGAAAATGGAAACACTGACTAATGCCTAGGCTGTGGTCTGAACCCCCAGACTCACCCCTATCCGGCATCGAAAATGGAAACACTGACTAATGCCTAGGCTGTGGTCTGAACCCCCCAGACTCACCCCTATCCGGCATCGAGAATGGAAACACTGACTAATGCCTAGGCTGTGGTCTGAACCCCCAGACTCACCCCTATCCGGCATCGAGAATGGAAACACTGACTCATGAAGCTCGTCCGATCACTTCATAGAAGAAACAAAGACTCCAAAGCTCTTCAAAATAAAATTATAGGGAAAATACTAATAAAGTACTCCCGTACGCTCCCGTACCCCGACACGTAATAGTGTCAAAAAGAAGAACTAACGGATGAACACATAGTTCAAAAACACCTAATGAACATATAGTTCGAGAACACCTTATGAACATATAGTTCAAACATACCTACCGATTACAAGTCTGCTAACGTTCCACTGGACTATCTAAAATAGTCTGTGGCCGTTGTCTATACTCTACTAGATGACTAGATCATCTTAAACATCGATACCTCTCATCACTTTTTATTTCATCACACATCATCTAATTCATCTACCCATGTTTTACCCAACATATTTGTAGATAAAAATACATATACAGTTTAAAACTTGTATAAAACATCTATTCAATAGTCACCTTAATTAAACAATTAATATAATTACACATATCACGTATTTTAAAGAAAATACTTCATATATATGTGTAAGGTGAAAGTGACTATACACTCACCTGATTTAATGAAAATCGGGCAGCAATTCGTTTCCTAAAACGATCGTTTCAAATAAAACCGGGAGTTTTATTCAGAAACCGGGCTCTGCGAGGGTCGGGCTTCAAAACCGAAAGGATAAATTTTCCGGGCTTCTCGGGAACTTCGTGGCGTATTCCAGGCTTTAAAAATGATATCGGGGCTTCGGGGGAAGTCAAAATAATAAAAAAGATGAAAAATGGGTGAAAAGTGACAAATTTCGGAATTCTACGCGGGAGATCTCGCAGCCACCACTATATATAGCAGCGAGGGTTGGATCCGAAGCAAGGAGGGAGAGGCAGGTGTCTGCGAGGCTCGGACCAGCTGGCTGCTTCGGCGAGGCTCAGATGCGAGGAGGCTACGTGCCGGCTTCGGATTGGGCCAGCACCTCGGACACGGGGCAACAACAGCGATGCGCGTCGGAAGTTCATTGGACCGCACCCTCGGTCGAATCTGGATGCGACATGCGAGTCGGGCACGAGGCAAGCATGCGAGGATCACGTGACCAGCACCATTCCTTGCGAATTTTCTCGAAAATTGTGCCCATTCTTGTAAAATCCATAACTTTCTCATACGGGCTCCGTTTTTTACGTGCTTTATATGCACGCGTAGGGAAAATTATGCTCTACAACTTTCGTTTAGACTTCGTCGGCTAATTTTGACTTTAATTTTTATATTATTATTTTTAACAGACCGGGACAGGTAATCCATTAAAAATTCATAACTTCTTTATCCGACGTCCGTTTTCGTTTGTCTTTTTACCGTTGTACTACTATTTATGAGACCTTCGATTATCGTTTAGGTTGTGTCGGCTAAAAATCACTCGATCTAAAATTCGAGTTTTTAGTTGTCTACTGCTAAGCTGAAACTTCGAAAAATTATAACTCCTCATACGAAGTCAGATTTGGGCGTTCTTTTTATACATACTCTCGGTTTAACGAACACTACGACTTTCGTTTAGATCACCAAGGATAAAAAATAGTTTATCAAAAACTCACTTTTTACGACATTCAGCACCGTGCCGGTTTTGTCGTGAAACTTCGACAGGTCATAACTTCTTCGTTATAACTCGGATTTCGGTATTCTTTATATATCTGTAATCTTTGTCACGCCCACTACAAGTTTCTTAATAGATATCGGCTTTATCTAATATTTATTTTTGACGCTCATTTTTAATCTTAATTAATTAAACCCTAATAATTAAACATAAAACACATAATATTCACATAATTCCTTTTCATTTCTTCTAAATAAGTTATAAATGTTAACCTAGACCATTATGTCAATATTAATGCCTAGCCTAGAAACACGGGCGTTACACGATCCATCCAAACGAACATCTCTACTCAAAGATAGTGGTGTGCTCGCCACCATGCCTGTTACATACCAACACCACGTCAATGATATGGTAGATATACCGACAAACCTATTGAAAAGACTCTTTTTGTATAGAATGACAACCAAGTTTAACTTAAGATTAAGTTAGTAATTTATTTAATTTTAGTTTTTGGACATGTTAAATAAAGTAAAATTATAATAAAACTTAAGTTTCAGTACATATTTAATTATTATCTTACTACCTATTTAATATAAATCATGCAATATTTTTCATTTTGATTTTAGATTAATGTACATATATAAGCACATGCTATTTGATTTGATTTCATTCATTGCTGGAATTGTTCATACAATGAAACTGCCAACACTTTTTGAGAGTTGTTAAGATTGTCGAAACATGAAATCAACAATTAAAGATGCAAAAACTTTATCACCATATAAGCTTGCAAGCTGGAACCATATTATGAATCCATGATCATATACATGTACGTATATGCCGTTCCAAAAAAATAAAAGTACACGTATATATACACACACATGTGGTTACCATGTGAAAGTGTAGAAAGTAATATACGATTTTATTTAAAAGAAAACAGTAAATAAGAAAATATACATATCTCTTATTAATTAGTGGAGACTGGAGAGTACATAACCGATACTATATAGATTCCAACTGGATTAATAAACGATGTTCGTTAAATAGGACACGGTTTAATACCAAACAACAATTTCATGGAATTTGATACAAAACACACACACACAAGAAAGCAAGATTTACAATTGATGATGAAGAAATTCAGATACCATAACGAACATCTGTGAACTTGTTCTTGATCCATTTGAAGCTATCTCTGACCGTTGATTTCAACTTACTTCCGGTGGTGAACATGTTATACTCTGCGATCCTCTTCTTCCTCTTTGTCTCTCCATCTTTAGTAATCGGACCATTGAATGCGTATGATCTTGATTGATCTTTGAATCCTGAAGAACCATTTGTTTTTGTGTGTGAAGATGATGAATATTCTGGAAATGATCTGCTCTTTTCCATCTTTTCCATGGCTATTGGTGTTTCTCTTCCTTGTTTCTGCTCCTTTTTATCTTCACATGGAAGCTACCCACAAAGTTATGGGTTATAGACTTATAGGTAGACAAAACGAGACTAACTTTATCTTTAAATGTTGTAAATATGATTATAAAGTTATATTTATTAAAATAATTTTTGTTTTTCATTCAACTAAATTTTTAAAGATTGTGAACGATTTTCAATCCGTTTCTTTTTTATAGTTAATGTTTTCTCCAATATAATCAAAGAAAAGGTCGACCATTTTCCACATAAAATGGGAGACTTTTTACTCAAGAATAGGTAAAGAAATTAAAAAGCCTGAAACATGGAATAACTATATGAGTCGAAATAGTGTCGCCTCTAACTAAACTTGCATTTATTTAGTTTCAGTTAGAAATGAACTATAATAAATCATAAAAAACAATTGATTAATTAGCTGTTTTTGTCAATTTGTTATTGTAATGATATATTTGGTACACATTGTATATTGATTGGCTAATATGGGTTAAGTAGATATGATAGTCTTGATTCATAAATAAATGAGTTTACGCTTCTTTTTAGCGTAGGTTAATATCATTTTTTTAATTATCATTATAAAAAGGTGGTTTTATTACCATACTTCACATATAAATTATTAATAAACAGTAAAATAGTGGGAGTAAAAGTTATTTGAAATCAAACAAAGACTTACTATGATGCAAAATAATTTGATTTAATTTGACTAGTCAAACCATATATTTGACCGCCTCATCTTTTGTAACGAATCATCCATCGCTATGATAGTTTAAAATACTAGTAACATTTAAATCATTTGATTTTAACCAAAATACTTTCATAGTTTTTAATTGTGGAAATTATATGTCCTCATAGTTCAAAATAGATTTAGAAGTTCAAAATTAGAGAGGATGTGATAATACAATATCATAGCATAGTTCAAGATAATCACATAAGTTGTGATTAAATGTCATTTCTATCTTCTTTCATTATCTCTAAGGTCTTCAATCTGAATGTTAGTGTATCCCACATCGGTGCGACACGGTCTTATAAGTGGCTATATATGTTGAAGTCCCTCTTCTCTTCACAAGGACTTTTTTTGGAGAGATAATCTTGGGCTCCGCATATATTTATATGGTATCAGAGCCGGCGTCCTGCACCCCCGTGGTTTAGTACATCCCTATTTATCCTCATCGAGCCTCCGACTTTGAGGGGGAGTGTTAGTGTATCCCACTATATATATTTGGAGAGACAATCTTGGGCTCTATATATATTTACACTGAGCACATGTCAAAATAAGTTAGGCAACATAATGCCTAATGAGAATACATGAGGTTTACTCATTTTGAATCGAGTGATGATAACAATCATCACGCTTGTGTCGAACCCCCAAACTCAATTGAAATCATTAAACACTCCAAACGAAAGTGTAGGTTACTATTGACCTGACTATTTCTCAAAAGTACTAAACAAAGGTTAGCAAATATTTGCAATAACAATAAACATCAAAAAGGGTGGTCAAGGGACCATCTACTATCTATTCCTAACCCGTATCAATCTCATTTGTCCAAACTCATAATAATGGTTAATAGGTAAGCATGGATGCATCATACAACTATGGTTGCTTCACACCACATATTTAGGAATTGCATTCATATACCCTTATTGGCCTAATAATTATAAAGTTAGGAACATGTGAACCATCACATATGCACTATACAAGAGGCAGCAAGCCACACTCGTACAACGTGAGGATTATTTGCTATACTCGTGCAATGTGAGGATTATCTAGATACATACTCACACACCGCTATATCGACACCTGATTGTCAAATCCCACATGGATATAAGGAGGGACACCCACAATCACTCATCCTAAATGTATGTACAAGAAGGATGCCAAAAAAGATTTCAAATCAACAATATCTCAAATAAGCGACATACTTTCCAAAAAGAGATTTGCATGCAATGCCTAAATAATATGTATAGTGAACACATTGCACATAGGGCAAACATTATATAATTTTAACAACTCAAAAACACATTTAGCATATAATAACATACAAAACTCCAAAACAAGAAATCAATATGGATATGTACTTTCTGGTAACCTGACCTAAAAAGGTTAACAATGTAATAAATCCTTATTCTAAGCTTGACACCATTTCAATCACCACCTATTTAGTTCAAACATAGGTTACTAAAATACCAAAATACCCTACGAGGCCATACCATATTCTAGGTTAGATAACCTATTTTCTAACCTAGATTCGTCATATAAGGATTAATGGAGGTGATGGGAAGCGAATTCGATTCTCAAACGCAAAAGTTGCAAAAATATAACATAATGGGACATACCAACATGGTCCGTGTATTCTTATGCCCTATACAACACACATGGTCCTTGTGCACAATGCATACAACCTAAAAGATGCATATTTTCCTATTAAGTCATTGTATTTTGCCTAAACGCTTTAGATCTTTTGTATATCAACTTATACCAATTTGTATGGACTAAAAACATGACTACATTGAGGTATTAACTTCATCATCCTTATAAATTAACTCATTAAGTTTATTAAAACATGTCCAAAGGCTTTATGTTATCTAAAACCCCATTTATAGAGGCTATGGACTCTTTTTACACACATGAAGAACTATTATACCTAAATGACTATATTAAAGAATTATTGGCCTGAGTGACCATATTAAAAAACTTTTCAAAGATAATAACCATATATTTTCGGAAATTTGGAATTAACAATGAAATTTGAAAATAGAAATTTTTTGAAATTGTATTTTATAATAAAAATTTGTTCAAATTTTCTTTCTCCGGAAAAAAAGTTCGAGATTTCATTTTTTTTTTCAGCAGGTTGGAAAATGCATATATAGTTCGAAAATTTCGAAACTCTCGAACCAAAATTTTATAAAATAAAAACAAGAATATTTTTGTAAATTTTGAAAATTGTAATTTTTGAAATTCGTGGTTATTTCTCAAATTTTGGAATTATATGTTTATTTTATAAAACAAGTATTTTATATGGTCATTGAGATTAATAGATTAAATAATTCACATCTTTTTACTAGTATTTCCATTTCAATTAACAGATTGTTTTTAATAAATTAATTGTTTTGTTGAAATATCATGGTTAGCGGAAAACAAAAAACCCACAAAAAGCAAAAGAATCATAATCCAAAACAAATAAACAAAATATAATTAATCATTCTAAATCCAAAACCTTTCTCTTTTCGGTTTGGATTTAGTCGGAGCCAAATCGTACACACCCTGGTTTATTTGAGTCATGTAGTGACGGTGTGAAATATTAAGTAAAAGGAAGGCTGAGGAGGCATGTGTTATGTTTGGGAGAAAATGAAAAAAAAAAAATAAAAAAGTTTTCTTTTTGGTTTCGTTGTTCACGCTACGCATCATGATTCATGAGGTGTGAAGTGTGATGATAGTGTTGGGACCTACTCTGTCCAAACTTCGCCCATATTCCTCGATTGCTCTTCACATGCTTAGTGGGATCCACTCCACATTAATCAAACTTATAAATTATATTTTTTCTTAAACATAAACAATACTACTTAATTGGCTTAACTATGCATAATGTATTAGCAAAAAGGGTCTCTACAAAAACTGGTTTTATTCGTCTTAAGATCAAACCCAGATATGTTCTACTGATTATTGTATATCATGATTTATGACCGTGAGACGAGTGTTGTGTAAGATCATCAGGAATACACCCTGCAATCCGATCAGAATGGATAACCAAGGCATTTGGCCATATTTTTTGATCATCTTATAGACATACATTTCACCTTTTCTATATAAGACCGGAGGAATGAGCTCGACAATGTTAAGGCTATGTTTGACTCGTCACAGCTACCTGATAAGCTATGTTATTTTTTGAGTTTTTTTTTATGTTGAGATGTTTGGTAAGCCAAAAAGTAATTTATAAACTAGCTTTTTAAAAAGCTAGTTAGACTAGGTTTTTAAGATTTTCTTTTTTTTTTAATTTTCCAAATATACCCTTTAATTAATTATAGAAACACATTTATTTAAAATGTCCTTTTACGTCATTATATATATTTCACCTAGTTTTACCAGACATTATTTTTTATCACCTAACTTTTTATTTAACAATTATCTTTTCAGCCAATATGTCAAACATAGTCTAAGTTGGCTCAACAAACACCGCAACATGAGCTTGTCATGCCGAGTTTTGTCTGCCAACACAACAAAAACTTGTTACTTCTGTCTCTTATTTATTCTCTTCTCTTTATTACTTTTTTGACCGTTTTAATTTCTAACCATAAAATTCAAATTTTACCAATTTTTTTCTAAATAAATACCACCAACTCAAACAAATTCATACCACTTTCAAAACTTTCAAACCTTCAACACTCATCTTAACTCTTTTAACTCTATCTTTGCAAAATGTCTTCTTCAAACTCTCAATCGGGTTCCACTAACATAGGGAAGTCCTTGATTATAACTTGGACCCCTATAGAAGGGAGACTTTGGCCATACATGGGTCGATGTGTTGGACGATCCTTCGATAGGCAACAATGTGACACCTTTTGTTATGAAAGTTACCACGCGTTTCCTCAAGGAAGTACATCAAGGTGACCATCGAAAGAATGATCATATTTATACTAAGTGGATGTGTATACGAACAAAGTGATAACAAAGTTTAATGCTTTGTTTAATAACTTGAAACACAATTGGCAAGGGCATGGAAATGATGGTGAAAATGATGCAATCATTTTAAACCAAGCTCTTCAAATTTTCTGGACATAAAAAAGAAAACTTTAAAATATTTAGGTTGCGTTTAGCTGTGAAAAATTATTTTCATTTTTCTTGGAAAGAGTTACAAAAGAGTGGAGTTTTCATTAGAAAATTTAGAAAACGTGTTTGATTCCGTTTTAGGAGAATAGAAAACATGTTATTTTACCACTATATTTAAGAGAGAGAGAGAGAGAGAGAGAGAGTCGAACTC